AGGTCAGGTTGGACGGGGCTCTGAGCAACCTGATCTAGTTGACGATGTCCCTGCCCACGGCAGGGGTGTTGGACTAGATGACCTTTAAAGGTCCCTTCCAACCCAAACTATTCTATGATTCTATGATTTGTTAAAGTATATGTTCTGTGTCCAAGTAATTTAGTAGTAGAGCATATAATGATTTTCCCTGCTTTGGGACAAGTTGAACTGACAGAAAGGTCGCAGAAGTCAGTATGCTTCCCATGAAGCTTGGAAAAAAATATAAGGAACAACAAAGTGGAAGGACGCTGATTCTGTGATACACACTTCACAATAACTTACTGTATGCAAAATACCTGGAAATTATTTAGTCTCCTGCCTAAGCAACACAGTGGAAAGTTTTCAGATTCTTTCATGAAGTTTACTCTCTGTATTACAGAATACAAATCATATTCTCTCCCTTTACCATTGCATAATTCTTCAGTGATTTTTTTTTTTCCTAATGTGGTAAAGAAAGAAAAGAAAAATATCTGATGTATTTTTAGGTTTTTATTATAACTTAGTAACTGGGAGTGCAACAGGGGGAAGTCATGACTATGTGACCATTAACTATGTGACCATCTTGAAGTCTCTTATCCAAATTCAGTGTGAGTTTAATAATCATTCATTTAAGTAACAGTACATGTGTCACATCTATAATACCTCACATCTGAGGATTTCGGAGCAGATTACAAGTTTTGATGAACTGAATCTCACAGCATTCCTACAGGAGGGAAAGAAATACAGGCATAGAAATTATAAATCATTTGTTAGGGCTGCTCAGGAGATAAAGAAGGAGAGTCTAGATGTCATGGTTCAGGGAACCTACACACAAGTTAAAATTTTGATATAAATGTATAAAACTTACAAAATTACTATATTATTGAACTCTTTCATATATCTTGTGTTGACCTTAAGCTGTGAAAGATGTGCTGTCCATCTCCTAAACAAAGGATAGCACAGGGTAATGGAGGATCATTTTATGCTGCTAACTCCTTTTCATGTGAGAGTATGTTAGGACAGAGCTATGGCTGAAGCCCAGGGAAGTCAGCATAATTAAATCTGTCTGCAGAACAAAGGGATATCAACAAAGACATCTTACCAGAAATAGAAGGAAGAGGTATTTGGGGAGGAAAGTTGGAGAGTAGAGTCAAACTGAGATACATTTTGTAGCCGAGAAGTCTGAATTTTAATGGGGATCAATGAGGGAAGGTGGACATGAGACCTACATGAACACTACAAATGTGTCTGCTCAGGAGCGTAATCCCGGCTCCCCGAACCAGACCATTGAGAATAGTAGCCTTTAGCTATACCCATGCTGTTCAGCAATTGGCCTGGCCCTCATAATCATATATATCCTTCTCCCTGTTCAAAGTTTCTGAAATAATGCAAGGATAATACAGCATGCTTGGATGGTGTTTTTTTATGACAACTGTTACATGTTGCATGGTGTGAGTGTAAGGGGTAACCCTAATGAAAAGGGTACCCAGGTGTAAGGGGTGAGTCCTGCTCCAGAGTGCTAGAAAAGGGTACGAGGACTATGTGGCAGAGTGGTGCAGTCTTGTTCATGTTGCCTACTTGGAGGATTCCTTGGAGCAGACTCTCCCCAGGGGCATATATGGGTTACATTTTGGAAGGAGTTAGTTCACTCCAGAGAAGAGCATAGGGCTGGAGTGACAGCTACACAGGGTGGACAGTCAAGGCTGAAGCCTGGAATGAACTGGGGAGCTGGGTTATTTGATGTCAATATTGTGTAGCTGCTCAAGAGGCATATAGAGAAAAAATAAATCCTTGATTTGGGGAAGAAACAACATGCTGTATATGAGATCCTGGCTTCAGCTGATTCAACCTCCAAAAACCACTTTGAGCGGTGAATAAATTCAGGCATCTCACATCTTTACTTTTCCTTTGTTCCTTTTAATTCTTTTATTAAAGTACAGGCTTCTCTGAGGAACCTTGAACAAGCTGGAGGTACAGATTTACTGAGAGTGAGATACAAGGAGACTAAAAGGGGATTCAGAAGTCTACAGGATTGCCCACCATGTGTTAAGCAACAATTGCTTTGGAGTACATGGTCACGTATTACTTGATGTGGTTACAGATAGGCAATTCCTGCCGACAGTGAGATGAGGGATGCATCCAGGCCTAGCTCATCATCTGTTTGTTTCTCTTCTTGTATGTCTTTGAAGATGTGGATTGTGAATGAGAATAGTTGCAAGATGAACTGTAGGAAAAGTTATATCTGAGGTCTTGTGGGCAACAGGAGATGGGAACTGGTTTAGGAATGTAAGGCAATTGTCTGGTAGGGTGTGTCATTACAAAGGGGTTAACAGAGAGCCAAAGAATCGTACATATACCATAGAGGGTAAGGATGCTATTCCCATCAAGAGGATCTCATCAGGTGAGCCTGGTGCCAGAGGACTCCAACACTCAGAAAGTGTCCCACTGGCTGAGGTGTTTCACACTGCATTGCTTGGCTTCTCCTCCTGCCTGCCAGCCACTGGGATTACTTTGTACAAGATCGGAGTTGAATGCTGTCGTGCTGAACTTGGAGAGGCATGTGTGGGGGACGGGAGCAGAGAGGGAGTGGGAATGTGGTGTGCAGATGTGTGAAGGTGAGAGTAAAGCTTATCAGCTACTGGTTCCAGAGGGTGGTGGGCTTTTCCTTTTTTCTTTTCCCAGCTCTGCTGGTGAAGTCATCCATTGAACAACCTCAATTATCCATCCATACAAGATAAAAGTACCAGAGTACTATGTTAGGGTGTGAATACTTTTAAATATTTTAAAATATAACAATTAAACATAGTCCTTGCCCTTTTGGCCAGCTGCCCTTAGAGTAGCCTCTATTAAAAAGTCCTTGAGACCCCAAAGGCAGTTTCCTTGTGTTGCATAATATTTTTCTTTTGTTTCCAGTAAACCAGGTTTGAACTGGCAAATTTCTGTGAAGTCCTGTAGCCAATTTAATATTTAAAACAGACCTGTTAAGTTATGCTGGTTTCAGGAATGTGTTGAGCCATCCTCCCTCTGCTAACCTGCTGTGCGGACTCAGTGCCTGAGAAGGAGTTGACAGCCCATGGGGACAGGGGAGTGTTCTGCGACTCTGCAGAAAGGCAGGCTAGTAAAAGGTCATAAGGGAAACAGCGGCTATAAGGTTCTAAGGTTTGTGTTGCAGTATCAGTCAACTAATTAAAAAAAAAAAAGATAAAAGAAAAAAGAGAATAGAATTAGTTGAAGGCACAGCAGCTGGTGACCTAAAATGGTAATCTGCACTAAACACCTTCCTTCAGTAATGTCTGTGCATATGGTTTTCAGCCCACTTTGGGTAGAAACTTGTAGAAAAAGGCTCTTAGAAGTTAAAACTGATACTCTTTTTTGGAAATAATCATCTTGACATTCTCATTAGAAAGACCAAGAAGAAACTGCAAGACAGCTGTTCTAGAACCCTAAGAGCTATGGGACAGCATGCTTTGCTAGTGCTGTACCTGTACTGTAGAAAGTTTATTACTCTTCATATCGCTCTCTTCACAAGCCAGAAGTTGCATTAGTGTGGTTGCTGGATTTCCATGGGCATATAATTCCAGGTGCATATATCAGAGTGATGATGTTCTTATATTTTGCTGCTATTGTGTGCTTATGTGCTCAGCTTCCAGGTGCTGAATTCTAGTTTGGTTTTACTTATGCTGTACTGGTGAACTTTATATAGCTTGGTCTCTGCTTGCCTGTACCTTTATTTAAAAAGTGTATAAAATCATTAAATTGCCCTACATACAATTAAAAATATAGATATTACATTTCTTTTTATTCACTTGCCAGTGCAGATGTATGAGAATGAGTGCACTTTCAGAACCTTCCTTTCAAAACTACTTGTAATCACGCGGTAGATAAGTAACACTTTAGAGGGAAGAGGACCTCTACCCAAAATAATTTCCAAATGAACTTAAAGTGTAATTTATCTTCTTATTTTGCAGCTAGCTATGGACCAAATCCAATTTGCAAAGGCTGTTTATCTTGTTCAAAGGATAATGGGTGCATCAGATGCCAACACAAGTTATTCTTCTTCCTACGAAGAGAAGGAATGAGACAATATGGTGAATGCTTGCATTCC